ATTAGGACTGCTATGTACTGTTGGTATTCTCAGACTTTGTGTGTCTGTGTTTCCAGCCGTGCAGAGATCTGGATGCTAATTTAAGAGCAATTTTCTCGGCTATAGGTCATATATTGCCCTTGTGTGTGGGGTTGTCAGGCAACACATAGGTAGCTCATATTCTGTGCTGTGCTGATGGTGTGGTCTTTAACAGGGAAACTCCAGGATGACTACTCCAGTCATAACAGGAAATAATAAAATCAAGTCACATCATGATGATATCAGGTTATTGAATGCAATCCATTGCAGTGAAAAGCCTTCACATCACTTCTGGTATATGAGTTTAGGGGAATAGGAAACAGTTTTAAATAATTACTCATACAATACTTTAAAAGTGAAGTCACTTGTGGGTGGAGTGTCATCACTTTTTCTTAAGTCCAGCACTGATTCTTTATCTATTTTGGGAGATTACCTGGACAAAATAGGCCTTTGGTGTTGGAACAAGCAAACTCAATGGCCTGTAACCCAGACCCACAAAGGACAGCAATACTAATTGATGATGAGGCACATACATAATTGTACAAATGATTGGGATAGTGGCATAAAGGTATTATAGTTAACTTAAAAATATGTATTTGAGGTTAAATAAAAGTACAACCGGGCATTTGTTTCCAAGTTATTGGTGTAAAGTATATATTTTGTTCTGATTGTAATATATTTCCGATGACACAGTTGTGCTTTGACACCATTTGTATGTTATCTCATTTGATAATTGATGTCAGAGTTGGATTTTCCGCAGAGATATTTTTTATATATGTCCCAGGACATGTCAGTAAAAGCAGTGTCATAATTTGTATTTTTGTAGCTGGTGTCTGTCTCTGTCTTCAGTCCCATGATCCTTTGGGAAAGCTAAAAATAGAGCTGACACCCCGAGCAGCTGACTGTGCTCTGTGAAATGCAAATACATGCACGACCACACACAAACTCCCACCCCCCTGAACTCTACTACCACACAGAACACATGGTACAAATGACACCCATACACACTTCTGTTGTCTCTCTCTCATTTCTAAATCTTCGGAATAATCATAAAGGATTTGCACAAGCTACTGCCAAACATTTTTTCCTCGTTAAAATCTAAACTACAATTTTCTTTTAATTAATTTTGCATGCAGTTATATTGCCCTTCTGGATTACATTTGTGCGCTCAGATTAAACAAACCAAACATAGGGCGGCTTTGTGCTGGTGCATGATAGCAAGCATGGAACACTTTTCCTAAACTGGAAGTGACTTACTTCAGCCACTGCAGCAGAACATTGTGATAAGAAGTGTGTGTGTGTGTGTGTGTGTGTGTGTGTGTGTGTGTGTGTGTTCATTAATCACACATTGAAATGTCTGATAACATTTGGATGCTTCAGTGGCAACAAACTGCTGAGTCATTCTTAGGTTACACACTCAACTGGGGTAGAAGAGCAGATATTCTTGCAATAGTTGATATGTCTTGGACATAAACATAAGGTTTAAATAGTGGGCAACTAGAGAAGACTAAAGAAGTATGATTACATTTAATCAAAGCCTCTATACCTCAATGGAGACTGGCGCAAAGAGCAGACTTCATGGAGCGATGAAACGTATCTTATGGCCTGTTAGCCTGTGGGTGGAAGACAGTGGAGTTTACCTCCTAGGCTCTCTGTGACTGTCTTCAATAAATTAGACGTGAACTATTGACCCCTGTCGGAGCAAAGGTCAGGTGCCCCCAGTCTCTATAATCAGCCTTGCTTCCTTGGTGGTAGTATAGAAGACAGCGGGACGGCCTGCCATTGCCTGGTCCTGTCCACTATGGTTAGGAGATATGTGAAACTGTGGGAGGGGGGTAGGGGACCCACCACAATGGCCTAAGGAGGCATTGGTGTGCTCTTCCATGAGATCCAGGCATCCAGCATACTGTCCATGATTTCAGATGGCTTGCTGTCGAGTCCTTGTACAGAGAAGAGCTGGCCAGCCTGCTTAGTGTCAACCAGTGACTGTCAGTCTGAGGGTTTGTGAGTAAGCTCACCACTCTCAAAGCTGCTCTAGAGGGCTGACACCATGTAATAGTTTTTGTGGCATCTGCAAACTGGGCTTCTGTCTGGGCGAACCAGGCCAAGGCAGACTACTTTGTTTTCCATGCTTTGAAGAGATGTCTCTAGAAGTTCTGCCAAAATAGAGACAAACAACTTGCATTTTTGTTGTCACAGCTAAAACTCAAGAAAGAACAGTTGAAAGACTTCACTCTTAACACTCTACGTTACCATTGTAACACACTTCAGTGAAAAAAACACATAATTGTATTTTTTGAACCTTTTGTTCTGTCGACTACAACAGTATGTTTTCTAATTGACCAGTTTTGGTGTGTTCAAGCTAGGCTTAATTGACATCTCCCTTACTCTCCTGTTAGTTTTGATGCACTCGTTTGTACTGGACGACTGACCCTACTATTATTCTTATTGTTCCAAAGAGTTTTGTAAAATCTACAGTTTAAACATAACTTGAGGTGCAATCAGTGAGATTAATTGAAAACACCTACATGGGTATGCAGGACCTTTTAAATGTATAACTTGTGTAGGAAGTTGAACAAATGTTACACCTCTATTTAGTTCTCGAAGATATGTTTATCATCCTACAGTGCTAGAGTTGTCATCAGCGCCATTATCTTTAACATTAACACCAACACATTCACACACAGTGAGACAGTGAGACATATGGCAGAACAGAGATGCCTCACGAGCCTGGGCCTGCATTTTAGCTGTGAAGCGCTGTGGTTGTCAGAAATGAGCAATGTCTGTAGACCAATAGCATCAAACACTGTCATTCAACACACACACACACACACACACACACACACACACACACACACACACACACACACACACACACACACACACACACACACACACACACACACACACACACACACACACACACACACACACACACACACACACACACACACACACACACACACACACACACACCATTTGCATTGCAAGTTTATACGCGGAGCCGGAAATGATTTCATCCCTGTGTTGATCACCTTCCAGTAATAAGTCGATGAAATAAGAAGTATTTTTGCACATACAACCACTGTGTGCAGTATTGTGTTTATGAATGATTACAGTTATTCCTTAGTTGATTTATGCACAGCCATTTTGGAATTTGAGGTCGAGTTTGAAGAACAGATTCCCCTGCCTTTCCAAGTCTAAAATCCAACTTCCAGGGCCGGTTCCAGTCAAAATGTCTGGGCACACACATATTCTAATTTCCCATGGAGCACACCATAGCTGCCGATCACTAAACTTAAAATAACTAGTGAAGCATTTAGCAAAATAAGTGACTAGACTACAAGATATATACCCAATCTTATGTTGCCATGTGTCTGTTGGAATTGTATTTGGGCAGTTGCAGCAACTTTATAGGGTGATAATATGCTATAAATTCAGCTTTAACCAGGTCATATTGCTAACTTTAACGAAATAAATGTGTGGGGACTGTTGGCTTTTAGCTGTTAGAATACTTTTGTAAACCTGGTCAAATAAAGACACAAACGGCTTGATAAAATGTGTATTACAAACTGTTCAAACAATGCATTTATCCAGATCATGCACAGAGAGTGTGTTTGTGTGAGTCTAGTGGAGACCACTCATGATAGAATGGAGAGTGTAAGTGACCTTCCAAGCAGTAGCGCTATCAGTCAGGCTATTCTGCTCCTTATGTAACCAAGGGTAAACACATAACACGATTGTAGCTCCAAAACTACTGGCAGGGTAACAATTCAAAACATATCAAATATAAATCATATTGTGCAGCATTAAGACGCTTCTAAAGTGATTCGTTTTATGGGATGTAAATGACTACATTGAGAAAGTTTAAGCTTTGAAAAGTAGCTTGGATTAAGATGTCATGTATAAAAAAAAACATCAGTTGTATATCAAAAAGATGTATGTGCTTTCATGATCCAGATTCTGTATTACCGTTACAGCTTCAAACTGAATTACAGTAAGTATTCCTTGCCTATTTCAAAAATGCAAAGCTATTTTAAACTGACTTAAAATTAGATGTGATCTATTTAAGTATATCGACATATAGACTGTCGCTCCCCTGTAGATAATATGCCCACAGGATATGGTATGCAGATAGTGTTTATGAAAGAAATATACACACACTAACACACACACCCACACACCCACACATACACTGAAGGCCACCGCCCTTCCCAACTGTTGAAACCAGAACCCTTCAACAGCTGAGTTGAGGGCTCGCAACAGGCAGATGGGGGGAGGAATGAGAGGAGGGGCTGGATAAAAGATGAGTGGCTGTAGAGAGGGGGAGGAGATATGGAGGAAAAGCCTGTAAAATAACGGATGATCAAATGAATTTACAAAAAAATATATATAATGTTTTCCTTAAAATGTGGTTATGTATACAATTTAATTGGTCATATCAAAAATAAATAGGTTATGATTTATTATTCTACACATTTCATAGGCAACATGAATGACCAAAAAGAATGAGTCATATTAGTAAAAGTGCTTTCTGTTCACAGTAATAAGGACTTAATTGAACTAAAGTCACACTAAAGCAGGCATATTTCGTTTTATTGTTTAAAAAAGTTCCTATATATTCTCTATAAATAAAAACAACATTACAGTGTTGCTCATTTATAGTTTGCAAATGACGAAAGTAGTAAATGAGAGTAACCTGTAACATTTTTACTTTCTATGTTGTCGTTGAATTCAATGGACATCTCCAAAATGTTTTCCCAATCTTAAGCCATATCCAGAACAGATCTATGGTGAACATTGGGTTGGGTTGGCTTGATCAATTCCGGCAGTGATCAATTAACACAATGGGGTTTAAGTACAGTGTAGGAGGAAGTGCAGGAAGAACAGACAGGGGAATGGTGACAGAGGGTGGACGGGCAGGAGGGGTTGGGGTATGAGTGGGTGTGGTATATCTACAAATAGCTGCGCTCAGTGTCTGACATTTCTTCACTAAAGCTCTCTCACAGTTGCCCAGTGGGACAGTTGGTTCTCAGCACCACAAGCGGCTCCATCAAAACCTCAAGACAACCCAACAGTCAACCAGCCATGAGCAAGTCCTACTCCTCTTCGGCCCAGTCGGCCTCCTCGTACCGTCGCACCTTCGGCTCTGGCGTAGGGGCCACCCCAATGCAATCCTCTTTCTCCTCTTCCGGAGGAGCTGGTGGTCGCCGCTCTGCTGCAAGCCACCAGTCTTCCCGAGTCTATGAGGTGAAGAGCACCGGTGTTCCCTCCTACTCCGGCTACAGGGTGTCCTCTGGTGCTGGGGGATCTGGGTACGGCTCCTCTTCATCCATGCGCGCCTATTCTGGCGAGAAACTGGACTTCAACCTGGCCGATGCCATGAACCAGGACTTCCTCAGCACAAGGACCAATGAGAAGGCCGAGCTTCAGCACCTCAATGACCGCTTCGCCAGCTACATCGAGAAGGTGCGTTTCCTGGAGCAGCAAAATGCAGTGCTGACGGTGGAGATTGAGCAGCTCAAGGGCCGTGAGGGGCCCGGCCGGGTAGCTGAGATGTTTGAGGAGGAGATGAGGGAGCTGAGGAGGCAAATAGAGACCATCACCAACCAGAGGGCCCGCGTGGAGGTGGACAGAGACAACCTGGCTGATGACCTGCAGAAACTGAAGCTCAGGTAGGCCAGTGGATGGTTTAATGTGAACCAATGGATGCGCCTTTAAAGGGTGGTAATACATAATGAAAAATAGTTGAATGACTCACATGATGCTGATGTGGTTCACAGAAGATTACGTAGTGGTTGATAGGAACTGTTCCAGAAAAATAATGAATAACTGAATAGTTTAGAAAGGGTCTTTGGTCACATGTGACTATTTCTACAGCTGTATTCATCAGAGGTTTCCGACCTTTTGACGCTTTAAAGTAAAGCAATTCCTGCTTCCTTACCTTTGTCATTGGTTTGATATGTCTTTGAGTTGTGAGCAGTTTAACCAAAGAGACATACAACTGGAGAAAAGTCTTCAAACAAGCTCAAGTTAAACTTAAAATATTTGTAGCAGAATTACTATACAATGACCTTTCAAGTTTTTCTTGTGACACCTCGGGTGGTCTCGACCTCCAGGTTGGCAACAGCTTGTTCACTAGTCTATCCCCAAAACAGAATGCCTCGTTGCTGGATGCTTTTTAGGAAGAGAAATTGTGCTAAATGAAAAGCAGGAGAAATAAGAAAGTCTTTCCCAAATACATACAATAAAATAATTCAATTCCAAGCATGTGACTGGGGCAAGTTACACTTCAATGAGTATTGTAGTCCACACGCTTTGAACAACGGCATGTTTTAATTTGCTGACAAGAGACATGGCAGAGTAAAATGAAGAGAGAGGCACATAGGAATAAAGTTGAGGCAGTCAGACAGACAGGCAGACAGACAGCCAATAAACAGAGTTTGTTATTTAAATTTGATGAAAATAATCATTACATAAATCCTAAAGACAGTTTTATATGTGTTTATTTGTGTTTATGTGTGTGTGTGGATGAGTGTGTGGATGAGTGTAAGTTTCTGACAGAAAGTGTGAGAAAGAGAGAGTGAGATTAAATGTGGATGTATCTCTGATTGGGCTATTTGCAGCTACTAGGTCAGCCTTCTGAATTTTGTATTTCTGTCACTGCGACAGCGAGCTTATATATACACACACACACACGCACGCGCGCGCACACACACACACACGCACGCACGCACGCGCGCGCACACAACACACACACACACACACACACACACACACACACACACACACACACACACACACACACACACACACACACACACACCACACCCACACACACACACACACACACACACACACCACACACACACACACATCTTAATTGAAACACACACAGCACAGACACAAACCTTTACTTTTCACTTTCTTTCCAGCAGCCAATTTAAATTGTTGCCAATGAAACCAAAAGAATAGCATTGTTTGCTACATACAAAAAGGACAGACCAAAAACTAAAATACTGCATTGATTTAAACTTAACAACCCGTGGAATACCAGAGGCTTAAGATACCTTTGAAGTATATGCATACATTACACGCCTGCATTATTTGTTCATACTTCTCAGTTGTTCAGATTACACAGTGAAATGCTGTGTAAAATGTGTGAAATGTGTAAAATGCTAATTCTGGATGCAGCAGCAGCCAGGGCCAGACCTCTGTTCCCTTACCCTTCTGACACTGACAGTGTGACAGCAGCTGCACATGGGCTGAAAGAGCAAATGTGTGTGAGTGTGTGTGTAGATATGGCTTTAAATACAAGTTATACGATGTGTCAGTTCTATTCTTGTTCTAAAAAGAACAGAGGGCCGATAGCTGGAAGAATGAGAGGTGGTAAACAGCATTCGCACTAACTAGTTTATCTGTGTCTGGTAATTGGTCTCTGGGGAATAAGCCATGCTCTCCAACACAGATGATGTGTTTTCATTCAACTCTTCTTGCTCTTTTCTCTTTAGACTGCAGGAGGAGGTCCAGCAGAAGGAAGAGGCTGAGAACAATCTGTCTGCCTTCAGAGCTGTATGTATTGTTATCCCGCAAAATCACAACGTTATACCTCAATATTTCTTATAATATGTTATATTCAAAGCTTGAAGTAAAAACTGAAGCACTACAACTGTCCTTGAATATTCTCTTAACCACTTTATTCCCCTTATTTCTTGTTCCCCCTGAACTCTTACTAATTTCAGTGGTTCTAATTAAAAATATTAATGTTTCTTTGTTTGTATCCAGGATGTAGACAATGCCACTCTGGCCAGGCTGGACCTGGAGAGGCGCATTGAGAGCCTCCAGGAGGAGATTGCCTTCCTCAAGAAGATCCACGAAGAGGTCTGTTGATTTGTTTATTTGACTTAAAATATGTCAGTATTTCTGCATCCACCACATCTTCAGTATGTTTTACTATGTATGTCAGTAGGATAGTGTGTACTGTCCACTATCATATAACACCTCTGTGCACGGCTGTATGGAAACACTATCTGAGTCTCTGTAGGCATGCAACTCTTCAAAGAGATCAAATATTTCACACTTAAACACACCCACAGAGGATAAAACATATTTATCATGCAAATGTAGATGCATGAACACTTTCTCTCTCTACACAACAATGCAGGCAGTATGGAAACAAAGCAAATGTAATAACTGCCGTAGATATTTTGGTGCACTTTCACCCAAAGTCATCAAAGGATAAAACCGTGACACATGCCTGCACAGTTTATGTGCCTTACCATCAGTTTATCATCTCTGCCTTGGCTTTGACGTCTCAGAAATGCTGAACTGACATTTAGTATAAAGGGCATGTCAGCTGCTGTGTGTGTGTGTGTGTTAGTTTGTGTGTGTGTGAAAAGGAAAAAGAATGTGTGCATGTGAACAGATGCAAAGCTTTTTATATCTTTAGGTTAGACCAGGAGACAGCTGAGTGAAACCAAAGCTTACAATTTGTAAAAAGTTTGAATATTAATTTCTAATTACAATTCAAAATGGTGTCACTGGGAAAATGTACAGTTTCACATTTTCTCTCTAGTAAATGTCATTGATGTTGGATGCCATACATTGATTTATTGATTCGTTGTGGTTTGAAATCTCCCTTTTTCTTAATGTCGAGTTAGTAGTGGTGGCATGATTAATGCAAACAAGACTTTGCATGTTGTTCTGCCCCTTACAGAAAAACGTTTTTCATAACCTCATACACTTTTTTGTTTAAAAACATATAATTATTCACCTCTCATATTGCAGGAGATCCATGAGCTGCAGAGCCAGATGCAGGACTCTCAGGTCCAGGTCCAGATGGACATGTCCAAGCCCGACCTGACCGCTGCTCTGAGGGACATCCGCATGCAGTACGAGGGCATCGCCGCCAAGAACATCGGAGAGGCTGAGGAGTGGTACAAGTCTAAGGTAGGGCGGGAACCGACACACACACACACACACACACACACACACACACACACACACACACACACACACACACACACACACACACACACACACACACACACACACACACACACACACACACACACACACACCACACACACACACACACACACACACACACACACACACACACACACACACACACACACACGCACAGTGTGGTCTTTAGCTGATACAACCCCCCCTTTCTCCTCAGGTGACTGATCTGAGCCAGGCTGTGAATAAGAACAATGATGCTCTGCGTAACGCCAAGCAGGAGACCATGGAGTTCAGGCACCAGATCCAGTCCTACACCTGTGAGATCGACTCACTCAAGGGCACCGTAAGTACTGAAAGCAACCCCTGTGTTGTTCCATTGCTTTCATTCTGGGTAAGACCCCTTTGTCCCACTTCTAACTTCATGTCTATGTCCCCTGTAGAACGAGTCTCTGCTGCGCCAGATGAGAGAGATGGAGGACCGCACGGGCCGCGAGGCTTCTGGTTACCAGGATAGCATCTCTCATTTCGAGGAAGAAATTGCTAAGATGAAGGTAACTACCCCATTGACTTTATGCACTATAGCCATTTAAATCCATGAGGTTATAGAAAGCAGCATCAAACTGGTCCACAATTCCGGATATTCTTTTACTCAATGGGAACAATGGCTGTGTTTTTAGAGAGCTATTACAAGTATATGATCAAATGTAATATAACTCTGTTGCGTTTGTCCTTGGTGTGATGTTTATCTGAGCAGACAATATAACATTTTATGTATTGACTTAAAGGACGATATGGCTCGTCACTTGAGAGAGTACCAGGACCTTCTCAATGTGAAGATGGCTCTTGATATTGAAATCGCCACCTACCGCAAGCTGCTGGAGGGAGAGGAGAGCAGGTTTGTGTGTGTGGTATTCACATTTGGATGTGTCTGATATTAGAAGGCTTTAGTGTCTTTACTTTCCTCTGTCCCAGGGCTGTCATAACCTGACCTTTCAGTAAGTCTGTCATTTTTATTCCCCTCCTATTACCAGCTGAACTCGGTTTTTCTTCTTTTTGCAGGATCACTACCAACATGCCTTCCCAATCTGCTTATTCCTCTATTGGATTCAGAGGTAGGAAAAACACTACACATGCTTCATGTCTCACATAATAACCGAATACAATTTCACGTTCCAAACGAGTCAATGAGGGGATAAGAAAAAGACTAATAATAGCTTGTGACTGTATATGGCTGGTGCTATTTTGAGGGCATTACATGTTGTAGTGACACATTCTGACCACTGTGGGGAGATGTATGACATGTCAGGAAACCTTTGTGGCTTTTTGATGCACTGGGGCAAATATCACCAAGCCACACATCAATAATCACATGACTTAGCCCATTTGCTTGATGTATTAAGAGTTCAAGTGTGCTTTTAATCTCTTCTAATTACTTCCACTTTCGCCCCCATTGTGGCTCCTTAAGTAAAAAGCAGTCATTTAAGATGATGTATTAGGTTTCAGCCACAATTCATTCATAATGAGTTTGAATATGTACTCAAGCTGTGTGTTCCTGTAGCTTATTGTGTGAGTCAATGAAGTAGTATAATGTGTGGATGTGTTGTTACAGAGACCAGTCCTGAGTCCCAGAACAAGCGCTCCTCAGAGGTTCACTCCAAGAAGACTGTTCTCATCAAGACCATCGAAACCCGCGATGGCGAGGTGTGAGCGCAAACACACTCACCGATGTTTATTTACATGTGTATATGCATAACATACAATACACCTACATCATATACAGCCCCAGAACACCCAAAGCAATATATACTGTGTCATTAACTGTTTTTAATCTATAAATATCTAGCTGATTTATTTGTATTTGTTATATTCTCATACAGCTGAAATTCTCTATGAGCCAGGGCGCTAGTGCCCAGTCTGTAAGTTACTCACTAATATCCCACCTCCCTTATCTTTTTCTCAGTCAGGGCTGAACAAAACTACCAGACCTCATTATAGAACAGACAGAAGTTTGCATGTTGCCATGACAGCATGATGGATCCACAGAGTGTTTAAAGCAATCTATGTTTGAAATCTAGGCTGGGCAATCTAGAGAGAACTAAATCACAATATTTTCTATGCAAATAAATCAATATTATGATAGCAGTGGTATTGTAGAATTGACCATTATAGCTTTCACTACATATTTACAACATTTGGTTTCTGATGAACATATTGACACAAAAAGAAGAGCTAGAACAGACTGGTGGTTTCATAAAAGTACATCCTTAACTTTAATGCAGCCTTTACAAATCTGAAAATACAACATGTATGCGATCTTATGATATCCAAAAGATAAGACAATATAGTCTCATATCACAAAATGGATTGCCTATATAGCCCAGCCCTAGTTGAAATCATAGCTGCAAAAACATTGTTGGACTGTTTACATAGTAAATCTGGTAGTTTTCCCTGTATATACTCCTATGATTGAACATCAATACCCCACACTGGCTCCCATAAAGCACCTTTACTGTCACTGGCTTCTGTTCTTCCCAGACAATCACTTCACCCAGGCACTTCACTCCAAACAATACCTGCTTCACTGTTAACGGAAAATACTCTCACGCATTATCTGCAACACTTTGCAGTTATGACATAGATAATGAATATGTTTTCCCTCCATCCTAACAATTTACAATACCTCTTCTCTCCTCCTCAGGTTGTGAGCGAGTCCACACAGCACCAGCAAGACATCATGTAAACCAGAAGAGGCAACATCAAAAACACCATATATTATCAATGAATTACAAAATAGCACAATTTATAAAATAACCCTATTTTTAGAGCCAGAATGCTGACCATTTTAGCTGATTGAAAAGGAGAACTGTCATTTAAATGCAACTGGTCTTTAGACAATGTACCGTACATCATTAACAGGATCGATGCAGTATTCAGGCAAATGCAGTGCCTTTAGCCTGGTTTTAAAGAAAATGAATTCCAGGAATCATGCTTTATTTGTGTTACTTTCCTTTACCTAAAATCCCTATTATTTACCCATAATTGAAATATCTTGTCTGCATAAATGATGCAATGGCAAGTGTAAAGTTGGAAATGATCATCAAGGCTTGGTGTAGCTGTATTGGCCCAGTATCCAAAGAGGCGTTTGCACGATGCGAGTAACAGTACTTTTCTCTGCACATATTCCAAGCATTTCTGTGCAAATGTATAAGTAAATGAAATGATTAAGAAGGGCTTTTATTTGTGTAATGACTGTGAGATGTCAGAAACACAAGCCTATAATGAGAGAGGAACTCAGGCATGTTTAAAGTTTGAGCTCAATGGCATGTTCTGGGTGTTTAATTTTATGAGGGTGACCATGTTGTGGCCAAAAACTCAAATAAAGACATTTGTAACCATCGTGTGTCCCTTTAAGATGTCTTCATAAAAGGATATTGTTTTGTGTGTGTGTACATCTAGTCCGAGACAGTCTTCTTTTTAAACTCATTACTATTCCTCAGAGCGCGCAAAACTTCTTTATGAACTGTTCCTGCTCGCTGCATTTATCATCTGATGTGGGCTGGAGTTAGCTTTGTAAAATGATATTTGCTTTCCCAGCCAAGCGCAACCCTCTTCTGTTAACATTTAAGGCGCTTTTATAAAGAAAATATGAGAAACAGGAGTGATCTCAGTGCAGGGGAAAGTGAAAAAGGGCTCCTTAATGAGTTTGCTGGGGTCAGCTTTGTTTTCAGTGGAAAGCAGATTAGCAGAGCATCAACAATTATATAGTCTGTGTGGTTTGTGTCTGAAGTTACTGGACTGAAACTATTAACACAGATTGGGAGGGTGGAGAAGAAGGGAGTAAAGAAAGACACAGTAGACAGCATGAAAGGCAAAACCAAGATGGTGGTACAGAGAGCAAACAGGAAAGAAAAGGCGTACAGAGACAATGAAAAGGACAGAAAAAGAGACCAGAACGATTTAGAGGGGGATAATTAGGCAGAACAAAGAAAGAAACCGACAGATAGAAAGCGAGAGATGGCTTTTCCAGTAGCAATGTTGAGCAAAACTTCACAACTGCTGCCACTGCCAACAGCTTCCCAATCATTATGAGTCAATACAACGGGTAACATGTGCTGCTTATATTTCCTTCAAATGAACTCAGCTGACCTCAGCGACCTCTCCTCTATCAGCTGCTAAAGTACCTGTTGAGGTTCAGGCGTAATATGTGGCTCCTTTTATTGTGCTGCTTGAAGGTTATTTTTCACTGATTAGATTTGTATATGACAAACTCAGTGTACAAGCTCCAAATGTAGCCTGAGAACGAGTCATGAAGATGGACTCAAGATGCTACATTTAATCATGTTATGCAAGCATTTTTATAGATTATAGATTTCACAGATTATCTAAACAATCTGACAATGACAAATTAGTTGGTTTTAGTAGTGCGAAACGCTTACATTTGTTACCTGAACTTGTATGTAAAATGTAATCGGTTGGTGGGATTATTTGATATGTGTACTGGGTAAAATCAGCCCTGTGATCACTCTGTAAGTAAAGTAAAGAAAAACAAGACCAATAGATTGTAGAATCACAATGTTTATCATAGTTTAGGTCCATATAAATTCATGCTATCAATAATCATAATAATAATAATGATAATTATAATAACCATTGTCTTCAGGTGTTTTTTACACATTTAAACGGGGTGGTAGGAAAATGAATTGCAATATCTTCTAAAAAAGATGGAGTAATGAGTAATCACTTATTAAAAAGAGTCAAGGCTCAGTTTGTTTTTGCTGATTTCCAACATCACACGTTGAAACAGAAGCATGAGAATGATACCCACCCACCATTCAGTCAAGTAGAACTAATTGGACATACAGTAGTAACACAATATAAGAAAGATCTAATCCAATCAGCTGGATGAATTACATAAATGACCATGATGTAAACATGAAAATAAAATTATTTACAGTTCAATATCTACATCTACAAGTGTTTTCCCTACATATGTTCAGCAGTTATGGGCAATCACAAAAAGTATTAGTAGAAAGAAAAGCAAACGATGATGATGTTACAAGCGCACTACAGTAAAACCCCAAAAGAAGAACCAAACAGGACTCACATGTTAGCAAAGCCCCAAATAAAACTTCAACAGCCACTACTGCAAAACATTATAGGCGTAACATTGATACAGTAGAAAGGAAGGTGGCTTAGCATAATGCATGTTGAGAGGAGGGAAATTATTCATGTCATGCCTTTTCAAAGCCCTTTACCTGGACAAGTTTAAAGATAAAATAAGTTGGTCCTATCAAGATTCACTATAGATGTTACCTTTTCTGTATGCTGTGGATATTGAGACACTTAATTAGATGTACTTCCACAATATTCCTTCAGTCAATGTGGACTGGGACCAACAAACTCAAAATGGAAATCTGAGGTTTTCACATGACGACAGTGACACATTGAAACATCGACACATTGGACAAAGTTACACAAGGGCTCTCATGCAGTTATGGGTTAAGGTGAGAATGATTGGTCCTTCCAGTGCTTAGCCACATCCCTTCAACTATTAAGAATTTAAGTACAGTACCGTGGAATATTTATGTATATCTAAAACTCATAAAAGGTCAACTCCGACATAAAAAGGACGTAAAACACAATCCAAGTGGTCATAATCTAGTTACAGTACCATTTAGTCTCAGTAGGAATTGTAACATTAGTAGTGCTTTTTGTTTATTCTAGGAAACTACAGTAACTTAAGTCAAAACAGGTTAAAATAAAACAAAAATATCTCCTTTGTACTGAGAGAATTCCTGTGCAAATCTAACTTCCCTTCAGTACCACAATTGTAATGTTCGGAGCAGATCAATATTCAAATGCAACTGACACGCAACATAACACACAATATAAACACATAAACAATAAGTCAAGAAAAAAAAGTTCCAGTAGTAAACATTAGAGGGCGCCATTTGCAATGATTTCATTTTTTCACCATCTCTTCACATTTACAGGAGATTATGTTGCTTCTACTCCCTTTCATCACTTCATCCAATCTATAAAATGCACATCTTTACTGAACCTGTATATATTAGCAACAAGAAGAAACACCATACAGCATGTTTTACATACATTTCAATGAATCCCCCTCTCTGCCAATAAATGGTGCAATCCGTCACTTGCCACAGGGCTTCTGCTCATACTCTCACACAGCAACACACTATATCAACCATATTTACTGCCATGTAATGTCCCCTCTGAAGCAAATGTCACATTTCTGGATGACCAGTATCCGAGAGCAGTTTCTTGTCTCTCTGCCTTAACATCATACTGTTGACAAATTCACAACATGTAGATAGTCTTTAGGATTAAGAAGGGTGAAAGCAACACGAGAGCACTTACAAAAACATGTCGACAAAGATAATTACATAAAGTAGCTTACAAAAAAGCTTTAAATTCCAGGAAAAGAAGAAAGAAGAAGAAGGGTACGGATGTGTCTTCTGCTCAGGTCCGTGGTTAAAACAGCCGGCGATCGAGGGCAAAGGGAACTGATGACACGTAAGCACATTTCCCTTGGAAATTGGCATTAATGTAGGCGGTGATACATGGAGTGTTCATGGATGGGATAACATAACAAATTGTCCACGGGGTGAACTCTTTGATCCATGCTCACCTGAAAGCAGTCCCAGTTCTGCATTTTGAAGCAGCAGAAGACTTGTGCTGGCTGCCATGTCTGGATTCACAAGGTGTCAGAGGAGATAACAGGCTGACTTGATGTACTCCTCACTTCCTACAGCGACCTTTCGTGCAGAAAATGATGAAGAGCTGCCTTTCTGTTTCAGTTTTTGCTGTGGTTTTTGTATGTTTTTCTGAAAGTTTCCTCTGTGTGCACTGAATAGTTGAAGCAAGAAGTTGTCTCCTTAATTAACCTTGAACTCAAGATACAAAGAATAGGTTATTGACGGTTGTGCTACCTTGACTTTATATAAGCCACATGATGCATTTCATCCAAAATGAGGCAGCCCTCCTGTGAAGAAATTATGTTTTGATTGTTTCCCACATTACAATCCTGTTGGAAATGACTTCTTGTCATTTGAAGCGACCAGAAGATTCTTTAAATCAAATGTTCAATGGTGAAATTTCAATCAACTTCACAGAAGACAAGTCCATTATTTCCAGTGTCCTGCAGACCAGGATAGTATTATGACAGGTTTAAAGTAAAATATAGTTTGGGATGACTCATGACTCACGAAGCAATCTGTTCCTGCATCGTAAGAACGAAAAAAGCTTTCCCCTTGCATCTTAATGTTCATAAAGAACAAAACAGGACCAAACTGGTCAAATAAATACAACTTTTGAGAGAAAACCAGTGTGGGACACAACACCTTATTTAGATAACTCAGTTACTGATGCGTTAATTGACAGTTAATTAGATTGGCAAAGTTAGGTTTTCTATAACATAGATTTTTGAAGTATTTCTGCGTGATTGTGGGTGTGGTCTGGTGTGCACTTGTTCATTTTCCTGTCTCAGATGCGAACTGGGGGTACGCTGGGGGCCGTAAGGGGCACTCGGGAGCCGCAGTCGTAGTCGAGTTCAGCCATCCGGGAGCGGCTCATCATTCGGTTTTGGGAGTACGCTCGTCTGTCTGTTTGTCTGTCCCTGAAACTCCTGATGTAGCTCTGTGGACAGACAGGGGTTGGGTTAGGAAAATACAGTAAAGTGGGACATTTGCAACTGCTGCATATAGCTGTCCACTAGTTGCAGGGGAACCTCACTGGAAATCACTGCTCCTGGCCAAGAAATAGTCCCACACATAGCCCAATGTGAACCTAATTAGTGTGTGGTAATCTAAGATAATTAATGTGCTGAAAAACGAAGCCAAAAACTGCAGTTCCATGAATGGCCACTTGAGGCTGGGTCCATAAGTGAGTCAGTCCCCATGAATGCCCAATGTTACAGCCTGGTACACAGTATGTGTGTTAGTAGGAAGCCAAATATTTCTGTATATTTGTTGATGAAATGGAGACACTAAAACTTTCACTAGCTTATATATTAATTTCTTGAAATATCTTTTAAAGCATGACCTTTATCTTAGTAAGAAGGATGCTTACCGGTGACAGCACATCTCCATCAAAGCGCCTTTTGGGGTTGGACTTGCGATGGTAGCCGGGCTCAGTCTGAGGAGGCGGGACTTTAGGTGGCTGAGAGGTCTGTGCTTGGTGATGAGGGTGGGAGGCCGCTGGGTGATGGTACTGCTGGTGATGATGGTGATTGGTGTTGGCTTTCTGCTTGTGGTTAGGCTTCAGGTTGTCTCGTTTTTTCTTCTTCTTTGTCTCCTTCTCCTTTTTCAGCCTCTCTTCCCGCTGTCGGATCCGCATGAGCTGGACTCTCCTCTGCTGCCGGCTCAATACCACTGG